GCCTCCTGATCTTGACTTGGCCGATTCCTTCTTATCCTTCAAGCGATAGCCCAAATTTCATCTCAGTAAAAATTTCTTCCCTAACTTCCTAAGTTGGCCATCCCTGTATCTTCAATCACGTTATGTTCTTTTGCTTTATTTTTAAAAGAACTTTTTCAGTATTCGAAATGATCTCTTTTTTTTTGTTTGTTTCCTTGCTTATTTTTTGTTAACCTAGAATAGAACCTCCATGAAAGCAGGAAAGTACCCCCATGTCTAGAATAGAACCCAGAATATAATAGGGTTCAAGAGTATTTGTTAAATGAATGAATGAATGCCAATTCTGTGCATGGAATGAAATATAAGTCTCAGATCAATACCATAAGGCACAAAATTATTTATTGAGCAGTTCAAATCTACATAAATATATGAAAGTTGAAATTAAAATCAAAACTATAAAGTTCTTTTCTGTTATTCTTTGGTCTGCCTGTCAAGAACAGGAATTCTGTTGGACAGCAGAAACATAAGCCAGGGAAGAACTGCTGTACAGGGAGAATATTGAGACCATGTTACATCTCTCTGGAGATACACTTTGCCTTTTATAAGATACAGCTCTTCGGCATACTCGAGCAGGCCCATGCTGATCCTTAGCAAAATTTTCAGGATGAACATTAGAACGTTTCCAAATATCCTATTTTATACTCACTTCCTTACCCTCTCGCCTGCAAAAAATAAGTCTTTTGACATTCCTCTACTTAACATCATCACTTCCAAGAGGATGGCATCATTATCTGGTCTCCTTTTCCAGCTTGTTTTGTCTTAAGTCTTTGGGTTTCGAAAATAAAGCCTGCATGCCTCCCAGATGGGCTTTTATTGAGTTCACAGAATACAAATGGAAAAAGGTTATTACCGGACAGAGGTGTTTAAAAATGAAAATCAAACGTAATATAATACATGGACTCAGACAACTGGAATAAGGAATATAATATTTATAAAACGGAGTAGGAGGTTGCAATCATTGCTCTAAAATAAAACATTAAAAATTAATTCAGAGCAAACCTGTCTGTGCAACAGCAAACCTCTTTTTCATTAAGGTAGCACTGCATGCTTCTCCAGAATTAGTTCCCCCCAAAATAGGTAAATAGCTTGTAAGAAATGCGTGTTCTGCAAACTACAGAAGCACTACCTGAGGCACGATTTAGAGTTGCTTTTAGTATTAAAGCTT